AAAAGATGACAATGACTTTCAGTGTAAATAACTTTTCAGCTCACCCGAATGGTGTGCTGTCAATGTCGTCTCAATCATTCATAGCGACTAGTGGTCGTAACTCTCTCATTAATTATTGAGAAATACACTTTTCCGAAAAATTTCGTTTATTTTGACGGCTCGATGAATTCGCATATTTTCATGGCTACTTTACACGACTCGACCAATTAACAGCTCAGATTCTAAAAGTCAACAATTCATGACTGAAAAATTATATTCATTCCCGAAAACCGATTGAACAAGTAAAATCAAATCCATTCTCGTGTTGCTGATATGATCTTACAACAGGTATTTTGTTGGATGAAATGTGACGACGCATTTAGAGTGATTGGTGTAGAGCCACACTAAATGTTGCTATTTATATGCATTTATTCGCTGAATTCAAATACGATCAGAAGCATTGATTGAATGAATTATAATTCAAATCCAAATAAGTACATTTGATACGAAAAAAGGATCAATTAAATGACATTGACGGGTGGTATGCTACATGCAAAATAAAATCAGCAATGAGCATTAATGAGAACTAAATAAGAAAAGCTTCGAAAACATTAAATCAGATAATTTCTCGAACGCCTTAAAACCACTGCCGAAAACTATTGTTGAAAACAATCGTATTCGTTGACAATCGAAATAATTCTATGGCCACAAACACAATGCAAAAGAACTAGCCACAAAACAGTAAACACTGCTGACAATAGCGACGAATGTGAAGAGATTATCAATCGAATATTATCAATAACACTATTGATAACAATAATAATGACAATGTAACATCACTACTATTAATCGCAATAACTGTGAATAATTGACAGTTTTCACTTTTGAAATGAGTAATATTAAATACACTGAACCGCAATGCAATAACAGAAGTCAAGCGATGAATACACAAAAAGCGATTTATTTATACAATGAAAAACGCAAAAATTATACAATGACATATTACATAACTCTTATTCATAACGCCGCCCTTTAACCCGGTTTCAAGTCCACAGTTCACCGGTTTAAAAAAAAGTTCCAAAAAATGTTCCTTTCCAAGATATAACAATCACACAAATGTAAGCAATTGAAAATAACACTGAACAATATGATTCAATTAAAATGATACAATATGACTGAAAAAGCGCTCATATATGAGCTAAGTATTCATCAGATTGCTCATATACAAGCTATGGTTACATTAGATTTCAGAAGATTGCACGCATCAGCAATATTTCAAAGGATTTCGGAGATTTTCTCACTCAACTTTAAAGCATTTGCAATCAAACGCGACAAATATTTTCATTGGTATATACTGGTCGAATCAAGTAAATACATTGATATTTGATATTTGCGTTACTTCGAAAATTTTCACAACGAAACAAATTCTATGAGCTAAGTACATAATGGGCATCACGCAAAAATGTTGGTAAATGATCAAAGGTGAAGAAACTCATCGACTGTTGCTCGAACGATTGACGAACCCAATCGGAACGAAGCCTCGCGAAACGCCGTGCTGATAGAAATAGCGGTTTACCACGTCTGAAGCCACATTCAATTGAACCACTGCCGAGCCAGCAATTCGCATAGGCAAAAATAAATGATGAAAGGCAAAAAGACGTCCTTCCAACGTCACGTTGGATGATTCGGATTGAAAAACAAGAAGAATGAAGACAAATTGAATGTGAATAATTTCTTATCCATTTTCGACAATTGTTTTAATTGAAATTTTTATTTTCCTTTATCCCGGTAATTTTCCTTTTTACAATTTTAAGTCATCTAATTTCTCAACTTCATTGCTCATTATTTAACAACTTCCTTTCCGAAAATCAAGCAAGCACATATACATATCACCTAACTTGTAAGTAATTTCTCGGCTACGATCACACTTGACTTACTTCACAATAATGCTGCAATAACGCTAACCTTAAGTTACGATCCTCTTCTCCATGAATATCTAAATAAACAGATCCCCAGAGCGCGGCTTTATGCCTCGTCACAATCACGATCAGCGATGTATTCAGCGACAGGAAACACGCCACTCCACTTCCACACTGTATTGCGTGCTGCAATCAACACGAATCGTCGCATCAATATCGCGCTATTTTCACGAATATTCAATACACAAATATTCATATGATGTATTCTCAAGGCAAAACATCGTGCCCACAACAAAACTCCCTATCCAAATCAACACACTAGACTCACCCGTTCCACTTCATTATCAGGCACCATCCCACCAGTGGATGTCACACAACAACTGTCCAAACAAACCACCTCCGAGCACAACAAACAGATGAATGGATTCCGTGGAATCGTACCACAACTCAAACATGAACGACCAAAAAACCGCGAGAACAAATCATCATAGTTCGTTGGTAACTCGAGTATAGTGAAACGACGCCATACAAGCGCCTCCATTTTCAGTGTCTAAAAGAAATGAACATTCGAACAGATATAAGATAACGAATTCAGCGTAGATTATTGACATTAGCATATTAGAGCTGGTTATTATTTATGATTTGATTTCAAGTGATAAAACTCCCTCACGTTCGTTCACAACTTTCAAGATGCTGGCCAGAAAAGATAGTCAGATTAGTTTCTATCGAAAATATATATCATTCATAAATGTTCCCTAACATTCAATATAGAAATACGTCGAATAGCGAGTTTCTTACGGAAACCACCTAATCTCTAGAATGAATAGAAGATTTCAAGAAATCAATGCGAAATATTACATGAGCTATAAACGGTATCCATCTTGATATCACTTTAATCCAGTTGTTCAACGAAGCTGCCGGTAGATAGCTTATCGACAGCTGTTCACTACCTTAAACAATTGCAACATTGATTTTCTGCATGAGAATTTGAAAATTTCGATAGTGATTACATAATCGCAAACAATAAATCACTCAAAAAAATTCTATTGTAAACTAATCATTTGAAAGAAATGGAAAATTTTGAATTTGAAAAAAAATGCAAAAGTGTAAGATTTGACAAAATTTTGACGTGCGATTACAATAGTTGAATTTTGAAAATGAAAATTTTCATCAAACTCAAAGAGAATCTCTGAATTTTAAATAATAACAGCATCAAAACCTGTCAGAAAATGATGCATTTGCTCGAGTGAAGTGTGTCCAATTTTGAAATTGTCCGGCAGTCGTTTGATACGACATTCATGCCACAGTTCACCGATATAGCGCGACAGGTCTGTGCACGTGTATCGCATCGCCTCTACCGGATTCACTTCATCCTGTAAAATCCAACGAGTGCGAATCTCTCGATGAAAATTAATGAAAATTATTCTCACTACGCCATTACGTGAATGAACAACTGTTTTTGGATATTACTCAAGAAAGTAATATAGCAGCGGAATCTTTACCACATTTTCCATGAGCAGATCGTTCGCGTTTACATGTGGATGAGAGAATAGTTCACGCATAACATCAAGGGCAACACTTGAGAACAACTGAAACGATAACTGACAATTGACAACTGGAATTGACGAACGAACTCATTCCTTCTTTCCTTATCATATTTCGACAAATACAGCCAGAGATCATCAAAAATACAAGCATTATCCATTGATATGAGAAATTTACTTGATCCGTTGACGACGAAGAATCGTTCTGCGCTGCATTACTCAACGGTTGTGATGGCGATGATGCAGACACCTTTCTCATCAGACGTTTCATTTGTGGAATTGGCATATGCAACGTGGCCAACAGAGCCGAGCGCACTGCAGCTGCCCAAAGCACGACCTCGTAGATGAACGAAAGAAGTTCTGCAAAGCAGTACGATTTGAGAAGATTCCTTAAGTTTGTATGCGAGTCACAAATATCGAATTAAATCAAAAGTCAGTTACCAATTTTATCATCGTTCATTAAACAATCGTTAGTGATCACATAGGATGAAAGGCGTGTTATCGCAGATTTCATATCGAACAGCATCACCGGAGTGCCCGTCTCACGTTCCACTGCACGTGTCGATAATCGCATCGCCTTCTTGGCTGCTTCGGTTGACTGAATTAAATCAATCAAAACACCTAGTGTCAACGTATGAATCAATCCAGCTCTAGGTTAAATTCAACTGCTCTGCTAAAATTCCATCAACAACCCCCCTCCCTCCAAAAAAAACTTAAAATTCGAAGAAATTCATAGATTTCTTCAAACTTTTTCGCAAACTCCTCGACTGAATAAGAGTTTTCTCAAGTATGAAATAAATAGGTACCCGGACAATCTGCCTAGAGACGTTTTGCCTAAAGACACATTGCCTAACGGACAGCTCGCCTAAGGAAAGTTTGCCTATTAGACAAAATATCCATTAAAAAACTGTCCGTTAGGCAAATTTTCC